AAAGGATCGCCGAGATCTTCTTTACTTCAATCTCTCAATCAACTTTTAATCTTTAAAACGTTTCCAACGTTATCTTCTCTGTCGTATGTATAATACAACCACCGATGCAGACCTTACGGAAGAAAAACAGCCCGTGCAAGTGTGAGTAAATTGACGTTAACGCCTCTAAATATTGAATAGAAAAGGAAGGGGACTGGTGTTATGCGGATGAATGTCATTGATTTTTCTACGATTGTTTATTTTCGATTTTTATTTCTTTTCTACTTTTCTTTTCTTTCCTTTTTTTCTTTTCTCTTGTACTTTTTTCTTTTCTTTTAAATCTTTCCGCGGTACAGTCCCATTTTTTTTAAGGGATACCATCTCTTTTTTTATCCTGCTACCAAAGTACAAAGTATTTTGTTGTCATTATTGTTGCGTTTCATTTTTTTTTTTTATATGCGATAATATATGCTTTGTTGTAACATCTTGTAACATCTTTCGTTAGGGGTGTCTCGGAATATGGCTTCTTTCCCTTATACGTACGAAGAGGGATAGAAAACGAATGAGAGAGAGAGAGAGAGAGAGAGAGAGAGAGAGAGAGAGAGAGAGAATGAAAAAGGGAGAAGGCGTTCATCGACTACGGTCACTACTACTATTACTACATCACTGAATAGATAACCCGATGCAATTTGATACTACCATGATACGTTCTACGAATGTTTGACTTTTTTCTATTGTATTAATTATGAGTAAATGATTGTTTATTTGTTTAACAAGACAACAAAATCATTTTGTTTGTCGTTTATTTGTTTTTTATTTTGATATCGTTATATTTCGTCGTCATGAAAACGATCGTGGTTTCGTGTTACCGACCCTTTCCCCCATATTGTATATACGCTAGATTGAGTCTGACCAGTCAGAGATGGCGCTACTTATTCCTTGTTGGACCAAACATGCGATATTACTACTGATTTTTCACAACTCGACTTCTCTACGATTTTAATTAATTATTATTTTTCAAAGGTACCACAGAAAAATTTAGATCTTTTGATTTTATAACGATCTTTGTTAATGTTTACGGTCGGACAAAAAAAAATATTGAAAATAATCATTAACTTATGTATTTTTATTTATTGATACAACTTTCTTATTTCTTTCTTCTTTCTCTTCCTCTCTCTCCCTCTCTCTTTCTCCCTTTTGAAGAAGAAGAAGAAGAAGAATTTGAAACAAATATACGTACGATTTTTCTAAATATATTTTGAATTTTTCTTGGTCACTCGTTTCTTTAGTAGGATTATTTAATGATCGAGACTACTCTCGCATTTGTTTGTACGTACTCGTCCATTTGAAGTGGGTAACGCCAACTGTCGATACTCGAGATTTACCGGGCAACCAATTGAAACCCCGTGCCCTTTTTCAAGTACGTAGAAACTTTCATCGTACGATATTCTTTGCTCTCGTCTTTCCTTTCAACCAGATCATGCCAGATGTGCAGAGTTTTGCACTTGATCTACGACGTCGTATCTCGACCTTTCATAACAGTTATTACAACGTTAGAGTATATATCCAATATTTTATTTGAGTATACGCATACTCGAGGATTTCTCAAGTTTCTAATTGATATATGATTTTACAATTTTATTTTTTATATTCTCTCTTTATCAGGATCACTTTTATACATCGAATTGTTAAGTATGTGCGACGTTAAAAAAGTATCTTATGTAAGAGTACGTCAATGGGAGGGAATGAGCGCAGGGGGTGTGTGGTTGGTCAAAAAATCCACTTACATATTGAGTGTCTCGAGTAGGTTTTTCGCAAGCAATCGATATCACTTTTATAGATTGCATTGGAATTAAATCGTACTCCCCGTTGCTTCAAATTTGATAACTCGATTTCGATTCTCGCACAGTTCAATTTCTTTATACGGTATGTTGACGAGCTTTGATCATGCGTGTGTTGAAATCGTAGTAGGGGGTCGTCCTATCGTTTTTCAATTCGATTTCACTTCGGTTAGCACCGCGTGTGATCTATAAAACCACGAGCATGAAATTGATTTATAGGGTTCGTGCGATGCTAATTTTTCTTTTTCTTCTTTTTTTTTGTTTTCTTTTGTTTTTTCTTTTTTTTTTTGTTCCTTTTCTACAGAATCAGCATTTTCGTTTACTAATTTTACGTACGTACGATGATTTTTCTTTTGTTCGAAATATTTTTTAGTTAAGAACGAGCCAACACGGTTCCTCGGGGAAGGTGTTTCGTTCAAGGCGAAGCTGATCGGTATATTGGAAGTGTCCGAAGCACGTGGCGATCGAATGTGTCAAGCAGCATTGGCGGATTTAAAAATGGCGATTCGTGCAGCCGGTGAACATAAGCAAAGGATTGCTGTGCAGGTCAGCATCGATGGACTTCGTTTGAGGGATGAAAAAACGAGTGTAAGTATAAATACAATGAGAATGTTAAAATATTTTATCGATTTTTTAATTAGAACGATGTTTTTTTTTTTTTTTTTTTTTTTTTTATCAGA